CCTGTGTGAAAAGTTTTCCTAGTGAGCCAAGTTTAGTGAGTGTATGCCTGCTGTAGTTGAGTATCCTGACAGCTGCCTATGTTATCCCCCCACCCCCCAGGAGGCAGCGAGCACGGGGTGTGCGGACATACAAGTGGAGAACACAAAGCACGGACTTCGGGAGCAGAACACACGACAGGGGAGTGCATGGGGATTTATTGTGTAATATTTACAGCACTGTAAATAAACGCACCCCCACGGCCTGCCACCACAGACTATGACACAACCAATGATCAATGACCACTGATCAATGGCCATGAGTACCGTTCACAGAGAATTGAGGAATGGCTGCAATCACAGCATTGTAAGATGGTGAAAGATGAACGCCTCCTCAATTCAGAGATGGTCTTTCCCTTTTCACATAAATGGCCTCCTTGACTCCGCGCTCAAACCAGCATTCCTCCCTGTCCAGGATGTGTACATCCTCAACACTGAAAGTGTGTCCAATGGCCTGTAGGTGTAAATAGACTGTGGAGTCAATAAATTGCAAGCTCAATAAAATGTTTTGTCTCACTCCCATTTCTTCTTGTTGCATGCTGAAGCTCTACTTGGAACCTTGTTAAGATCCAACCACTTGAGTGAATGTTTGCCACTTTATTAAATGATCTTAAACTTTTAATCGGGACTGTACTTTTGTGTGCATAAACTCATCAGCTAACACATCTGCTTTTTCAGCTTCTATCTCAAGCCTATGGATCTGCAGCCAGAGATCATAATCTGCTTCACACAGCTTATCCTTCTCCTGTGTCTCCTACTGTAAACAAACTTCAAGTTTTGCATCACTGCTAGGTCCATTGGATTCTTGAAAGAAAGGCTTAAAGCGAGGCAGGGTTGCTGGAGCTGCATTGAGTTTGATTTGGGCACCTGGAGGTGTAGCAAGTACAGCATGGTGCTCAGTTCTATCAAGTGAAACAAGATAAGCACTGCTTCCAGGAGGAGCTGAAGCTTCCTGAAAGGAGACATCGATCACAGTCACAGCAGGGTCAATAAAGACATCTAACTCGATTAGTCTTTCCAGCAACACCTGCTTACTGTGTTTTCTGTTTGTTTGTTTTTTTACACCATATTTTGGTATTGAAAGTTTGTAGTTACAAATACTTGGTCCCAACCTATCATAAGATTGTGTTGTCTATATAATGTCTTCTTTATTTTATCTATTGACAAAAAAACCCAAAACAAAGTCACACGCAAACACAGAAAGGCACGTGATTAAACATGTTAATCGTCAAAATTATTTATTAATCAAATTGATATGTGTATTTTTTCCACACAAACAAAAAGAAGTTCAAAGCAACACAGAAGTACCCTGATATTTCATTGAACTCTCACATGATATTAAACAGAAGCTGAACACCGAGCTCTGTAGAGTGGCCAATCATACTGAAGCAGTGCACTTCATAATTTTGGCCACCAGATGTCACCAAATAGGACTTTGTTGAAAAGCTTCCAAGTAATGAACCCTTTTTTTTTTTTCGATACAATGCTTCAGAAAACTTCATTTGGCTATCACTAGTTTCTAGCAGTTGTTGCTAGAAACTATATTGTCGCATGTATACAGGGTAGCTACAGTTACCTGTCCAGCCTTCCACCACAAACACTCTATTCACATACAGAAAGTGCGAAACAAAAGAAAGTAAGATGCAGCCACAGCTGGTCAAGCTGCCCTTTTGTAATGATCCCTGGGGTGTGATTGACCTACATGATCAGCCAATAGATGCGTACTAATTAAATTTGAATTTGAGTGGGAGTACTCTAGCAAGCCATTCAATTAATTTCA